CGTAAAAGCAAAAGTCGGTGCATGGATGCACGAAAACATCGAGGCTGCGTTTGTATTCTTTGCCCGCGAAGAAATGTACGGGCACACGCGTACATTTTCATCTATCTATCTATCTATCTATCTATCTATCTATCTATCTATACGTGCATTCGCGGCCAAGTGAGAGGGAGAGAGAGAGAAAGCGGGCGGAAGAGTATAGGAGAGAGTGGTATTATACGTATATATACATCCGTATATACGTACAGGTATACATCGCCATCGTTCCGTGCTTTCATTCGTTCGCGGAAAGAAGTAAAGAGCTTTGTCGCCGCGGCATCAAAAGCTTGAATGACGCGTCGATGAAAGAAGGAAGTATCGGTACAAGAAACTGCACAGTGAATACTGAAAAGAATGTAGTCACGGGAAGAAGGGGACCGAGACGGGAGAAGAAGTTAAAAAGGAAAGGAAAAGATAGCGAAAACGGGAAAGGGGGAGGGGGAGGGAAAAAAAAAGAAGAAAGGAAAAAAAGGAGGATGGCGGAGGAGGAGAGTATTGCGGATAGAAAACCTTCTAGGGAAAGACCGATAAAAGTTTCTGCCTGAAGACGGATATTGGAAATACGTTTCTCGATCGAGTACCGCGATTTATTAATTAATTCGTCTCTCTTTCGAAGGAAATCGAGCAATCAACGTCGTGGGAGGGAGAGGAGGGAATTTCAACGATTTGCGAAATTTCGATCGCGGTCGAAAAAAAAGAAAAAGAAGAAAAAAAAAATATTCGAGCGTTGTCATAGTGTCACACGTGGATTATAACGATCCTTAACGATCCTTGAAATCATCGTCACCCTTGTTAGAATTCAGGAAAACACATTCGTGGATTATATCATCGCCAGGCATGGTCGAGTTCTAATAGCTAAGTCAGGTACGCCGGATTACGCTGAACTATTACGAGCTTTCAAAGCGCGAGCCTCGTTGTGTATACAGGGTGTCCCGTATGGATGGAATCACGGCGAAATGACGTAAAGCTGGGAGAGGGGAAGAGAGGAGAAGGCTGAAAAGCCATACCACTCGCGGCAGCGTATGCAGATAATCGGTACAAAGCCTTTCGTCGAATGACAAAGGAGAGCACTGGCCAGCCTCGTGGTTCTCTCGCATCTATATGCCAACGCGTGCATACACGTTCAGCCTGGTATTATTATACTGGGTGGCAGCGTGCTAGGAAAAACCCAATTTCGACAGTTTTTGTTCCACTTGTTAAAACAAAGGGAAACCTCGCCTCGAGATTCTTCTATTATCTCGTCGCAGATTCAGAAAGATATCTAAGGTAATAAGGCTTAGGAATTCTTTCGTTTAATTAGTTTAAGGAGAGACGTAAAGGGTGATAATTGCCATTCCTTTGCGAAACACTCGATGAGTCGAAAGAGAGAGAAAGAGAGAGAGACTTGAAATTCTAACTCGGCGATGCAGCGTGGTTTTCTCGATGATGCGTCAGAGAGGGAACATCTTATTTCGATAAAAGTCGCGGAAGTCTATTAATCACTGGAGCGCATTGTGACATTCAACCGAGCGGCATTCAAGGTTTCAATATTATCGATACTCAACAGCGGGGCCAGCATCCGCGTCTATTGAAAGAGAGTTTATCAATAGAGTGCAGGACACTCTTGCTGTATCCGTTTCTAAAGCATTCTAAGCTCGGCGAGGTTCCTACAGTTTTCCGGAAACGATGACCGTCTCTGGGCAAGAATATTTTTATCCCCAATAAACGGAATCACATTACGGTTGAACATTACGGTTGAAGCGTGAAGAAAATATAATAAGCTTGGGAGAAGCTTATATTTTTTTTTTGGGGGGCAATTTGATCATCCAAACACGTACGTGGGTGTGAAGAATCTTCGAGAAGTCGGAAGGATAAAAATAAGGTTGATGCGGTTAAGAAGATTTTCCAGAAAGATTTTCCACGAGTAGTCGAGGTAAATACATTTCTTCCTTGTGTCAACTTCGATTAAGCTTATACAGTCCACGGATAATTCATGTTAATGCTGAGAAATTGGATGGTGTGCGGATAAATAATCAGACACACCTATCGCCCCTCCTATAGAGGTGTAGATCGATAGTAAAAGGTCCAACCATGATTAATTTGAGGAGACACGATGATCCACACGTTGTCCACTTTAACGAGGAATTCAATGGAATTCGTCACGAACTCTTAATTTGTTCATCGATCTAATTATTTCGCTACTCTCGTCGAGGATATCGTGCAATCGATGTGCAATGGAAGAGGTGATGTCTCCCCTGTATTGACGTTTGAAACGAATCCATCGTTAATCCGGTAGCGCTCAAAAAGAGACGAGAATCCGACGAATTTGCGGAATGCACGGTTTCCTGACCAACAGACGATTCTTTCCACGGTCCAGTTAGACGATACAGAATTAAGCTCGAAAAGTACTCGGCGAGTACACCGGGATGATGGGCCTATACAGCTATAAACAGCGACAAAAGGATACCGAGTGGGCGACGAGCATTGAATGTACCAGAAAGGATTGTATGCCAGCGAACGATGCTGACGATGGTAGCGACGTTGCTGTTGCTTTTGGCATACGTGTGTCACGTACGGTACGTCTGTCTGCGGCCTGCTTTTCGGTGTATCCGTGCTGCCGGCAGAAAAGAGGAGTATTTTAGCCCGCGTCCATATGAACGTAGGGACGAAACAATGTAGCTTTTGTGCGAGAAAGGAACGGAAAAGCCAAGCCAAAGAGAGAGTCTAAGAGCGATTGAAATGCTCGGCCGTCTGTCTCTTGTTCTCCACGCCTCCCTCTCCGTCTCACCCTTCTTGTCTATCCTTTCCCTCCTCCTCCCCCCTTTCCCTGCGTCTTTGCGCTCCTGTCCTTTTTAGCACTCAAACATCTATGTTGTCTCATCCTTCGCAGTTGCTTCATCTTTGCTTTGATCGCAGTAACATTGCAATGATTGCAAACGTGTTCACCTTCTCCTCGGATAGCGACGATCCGTTCTGTGAATTTCTTCGTTCTTTATGTGATTCGCCTGGTGCATAAACCTTGAACTTTTACGTTTTCAACGAGAGGAATCCTTATTTTTTTTGGGGGGGAGGGGGGAAGGGGAGGACGAAAAATTATCAGTAGTAACAGTAGAACGACGAGCAATAGAATGAAATAAAATTTCATCTCCTCTCTCCGGAGAAGTTTTCGACAACAATTGCATATCGAATTAAACACGCATTTCATTATCGTTCCAAACTCGATAGGTTTAAAGATAACGAAGAGATTCCTTTTTCTTTTTTTCTTTTTTTTTTTTTTTTTTTCTTGAGACTTTAAAAGCAAGGATGACAGAATGAGAAAGTAACGACGCGCGGAGCGAAGGCAGCAAGGGTGGTATGTGCAAGAAGGGTAAGTATTGGTAGACACAGATGTGAGGGGTGGTTGCAGGTTGATAGTCAAGACTGCCTTCAGATTCCAGAGTGAAGCATTGTGTCCCGAACGCGCATTGTCCTCCCGTCACCGGGAACTCGACAATGCCGAGTCCGTAAGTTAGTAACCCTACCGTAAAAACTTATCTCCACCCCAAACCATCGACCTCCAGCCTCCATGATTCCGTTCGATTTCCAACCTCCTCCCGCCAACTCTTCCGCTTTTCTGCCCTGCGAGTCTCGTGACTTGTGCCGCTTTCCCTCTTTTCCCCTTCCCGATTGGGAGAAAGGATCGAGATCTGTGACTAACGATGTTCCTCTTCTTTTCCACAGGGACAGAACTTCACGATCGAAGGCATCGAATTTGTCTTATTGTATAAATAAGCGAATAAGCATGGTTGAACATGATGATCGAGAAGTTAAAATTGTCACGTGAATTTCAAAGTGTTTCTTTCTTCTAGACGATATATAATCTTGTAGGTTTTTAAACTGTGTCGTCTGTCACGTCTACTAACTTGGACGATCAACGGTGATGAAGAATCGAAAAAGTGGTTGGTCAGCATGCAGGGAGTCGGTCTGGGATCGGAAGTGAACGTCCTGGGGACCGGATACAAACATTAGGGGTTGGCGGGCGGTCCTCTCGTTGGGACTCAAGTTGGCGAGCAGCCGGACAACGCGTGGTCGCCGGACAAAGCTCTTCTAATTGTCCCCATCAACGACGAAGAATGGACCGCGGGCCTGCCGCTGACAATTTCATTTGTAATTTGCATAAGGCTTATTAAAATCACAATGGACGTGGACCCACAGGGATGCTCGATCGAGGTGGCCGCAGGCTTCTTTTTTTGGACTGCTCGATACAGAATAATCACGATCACCGCTGTGCTGGTAATTGAACTTTAATAAGAACTAGAATTCGTTTCGAGCATTTTGACATGAATTATCAGTGAAAAAAAAAGAAATAATTAATCGTCGATGAATTTAAACATTGTGACAAACTTACATTTGATAAAGCTGGCTCCAGTAGATTCTTTTATCCATGATTATATATCCAAAAAACACTTGATACACTGTCGCACTTTTATTTTGTTAACGGATAATAAAAAAAACGCATGAAAAAAGAATAAATGTATGAAACGTCGAACGAAATTTTATAAATGGAAAATAAAATGAACAAAAATATATTTAAATATGTAGCATTCTGAAAAAAAATATCACTGATAATTCGAATGAAAAATAATTTATAAGTATTTTTTTTGCACGATTTATGACACCAATATTTCCACGTTTCTCGAAATGTGTCGCGCACGTGAGACAGCGCGGAACTGAACCATCTCAAAACGCTATCATATCACGCGCCGCCACATTCCCCCACCAACTTCTACCAAAATGCGTCTACGCATCTCTTATTCACACTACTATAAAACAATCGTTCTGATATAAATTGTAATTTTACAAGAAAGAAATAAAACAATAATTTCATAACAATAATTCTCTTATAAAAATAGATTATTAATCTAATAAAGAAATAATGTATACAAAAAAAATATAATGATCAAAGGAACGTAAATTATTAATTAGTTTTTTAATATATTTGTATATACGAACATTAAATGTTCTAAACAATATCAAATATTTTAAAACGATTCTATTCCAAATTAATGTCTAATTCTAGGACAACTGTTTTCCAGAACACAAATTCCTTGATTATTGTCGCGTGCATATCCCTTGTCACAGATACAACCACTTAAACAATTTTTTGTCTGAATGCAAGGCATAGATTCCCAGATATCAACATTATCACAATTCTTTTCGCAATTTGGATCTGCCTGGCACTGACTAAAAATTTCATTTTTCCTACATATGTCTTCGACGTAGATTATTTCGGGCTCTTGAAAAAAAAAAAATTGAAAATAAAAATAAAAAATCTACCATTTACAAATCTAATTTTGATCAAATGAAAAATTAAATATCCAATAATAAATTACTTACTAAAAAGTACTTCTCCTGTTACCACGTTCGAATATTCGAGTAGAAAAACATTTAAAATAATTAAAACGAAATGCACTTCTATATACTTCATTTTCTTCGAAATATCGGAAAAGAAATGTAAATAACTGTCGTGTCTGCGAATTTTAATACCCGGCCAAGAATATAACGCAGCGATAACCAAATTAGGTTATCAACAAGAGAACCACTTTTAATAACGTATAGCAACGTTCTTTGAACGGAAACTGGTGCATCAAAAAGATAAAATATGAAAGCAAATAAGTATGAGAGAAACCCTTAGGTATACAATCGTAAAAATTTAATAGGCATTGAAGAATAATCATTTCTTTTTTTCCAGTTTTCGTGTTATGTATTTGCGGATTTTTAAATTGTACAGCAGCTCGTTTACATACAACATATATAAGTGTCTTACTAGTAAATTATTTGTATGATACCTTAAAATAAGTATTTGTAATAAAGAGGGGAGGGTTTGTGATAACGTGTCCGAAATAATAGCAATTATGAAGAATAATCCAAGGATGATCGATGTGAGGGGAAAAACTATATTCCTTACTAATAAAGTCTCTTCTTCGCGTTGGCGATTCGCGATTCAAATTTACTTGTTAGAATCAACGATATCCGTAAATGATTACAACTTTTTTTTTTTTCTCATCAAACGCACAAGTTCGGAACGTGAGGTGCAATATTAAAAAGTTTAAAATCAACGCGAAAAATATTAAATCGGAAGTGAATTCATTTCTTATTAAAACAGCGAATAATATATTATCGATTCTTACTCATGACAATGAATGATAATGAAAAGCCACTTGCATATCTCAAATACTGCGACCAAATACTTCCCTTCAAAAATGCGCGTCACAGAAGAAGCTTCTTTTTTTCTCTTCCTTATTATTTATAAACGATATCTTCGTTACAATAAGAAAAGATACTACGATACGAAAATAAGTACCAGAATCGAAAGGTGTGTAAAATTTCTTTTTTTGATAACAATTAAAGAAAAAAAAGGAGGGGAAAATTAAAGTTTATAGATATTCATTAATTTCACGCGGTACAAACAAGTTATCAAGTGTTATCAAGTGTATGAATGTGCGAGAAACGCACATTTATATGTATTATATCACGAATATTTACTGTGTAAATATTCATGTGTAAGATTATAACAATTGAGGGAAACGGCCTCGATTTATATTCATACGATATGATTTCGTATTTTACGCGATTATTGTTAACTCTGATAAAGTTAAAAAGTCGAAAGAAAAAAGTACATTTCTCGCAACCGTCATTAGCACTATTGTACGTTTTTCCTTACAATATATCCCCTCTAGACTTTGTTTTAAATATACCGAAAATAATCGGTATAAGAATAGAGTAAGAGGTCTATGTCTCACGTGATCCGGTTGATGTTTAACGTTGAGAAGAAGTAACTATATCACAGATGAAGGAGAAGAATCGAAGAAGCAGCAACGGCAACGGGATTTCTACCAAACCTTAGCAGCAAGGGTTCTCTGCATTAAAACATTCTTGCTTCGCTGCTTCATGCGCTCAATGAAGTACTCCTTGCCTTCCAGGTTATCGTCGACAGGTCCAACCTCATTCTAGTAACAAACGAGAGTTAGTTGGCTCCTAGGTCGCGTTTTTCTTGCGCGTGTGGCTCATCACCATCATCATCATCATTATCCTCATTATTTATTCCTCATATTATCATCCGGATTATCATGATCGTCATCACGAAGATAGGCTAGTCTTTTGCAAAAGCCTACACAGAAGAGACCTAACCAACCTTGTTAGCTGTGTCGCCCCCCTCGCCCTCTCCCCACCTCTCGTAGTCATCGTCGTCCCTTTCTTCGCCTTCGCTTAAAGGTCCATCTTGTCTTTTACTAGGAGGAGCATTCGATCCTCCACTACCTTGTTGATGCTCCATAACGTCATCTCCCCCTTCGAGCATTTTGTTGATCTTCTCTTTTGCTTCGTCGACTTTTCTCATCGGATCGGGAGAGTAACTACGATCGCTGTATCTATCGCGAGAAGCGGCACGACGATCTCTGAAGTCACGCCTATCTCGGAAATCGCGGAAGCCCTGCTTACCGTGGAAAAATCTACCACCACGATTACCGCCACGTCCGCGTCCACCACCACGATTATTAAAACCACCGCCACGTCTGTTGCCAAAGCGATTGTTGTGTTGATTATTATAGAATCGGTTACGATTTTGGAAATTGTTACCACCGCCACGATGGTTTGGATTATTGAAACCCTGGAAACGTGGTTTATAATAAGTGCCGCGATTATTATATGGTCGAAATTGTCTCTTGCGATAGTAACTTCTATCTCCGGATCTACTACGACTGCGACTTCTAGTATAAGATCGGGAACGTGATCTAGAACGTGATCTACTATATGTGCCCGATGGAGATCGACTATATTTTCTCTCGTAACTTCCAGATCTTCGATTCGAATATGATCTTGAACGACTTCTTCTGGGTGAACGAGACCTCGAAGAACCTGAACTGGAGGCACTGCGCGATCTGCTTCGTGATCGTTTCACTGGACGATCTCTGCTCATTCTCTTAGTCACAGTTCCTCCTCTACCGCTCGATTCACGTTTCTTAGATGGTTGTCTATGTTGCCTTTCTGTCTCGCTATCGGAATCTGTTCTAGGACCTTTAGCTTGATTTTGGTTCTTTGCTAGTGGAGGAGGACGCGGTGGTTCTGGTGGATGACCAGCACCAGTATTACCGCTTTGTCCAATAGGTTGGAATTTGCCACCAAGATTGTTACTAGAACTAAACTTCGTTGGCGTTGTTTGAGGAGCAGATATAGAAGGATCCTTATATGATTGGAATTTGTTCTGCGGTTGTGGCGTGGGATATTTTACCGGTTCTTTGGGTAATGGCGGTGGAGTTGGCGCAGACATGGGCTGAGCAGCTGCTGCTCTCTTTTCCGCGAGTTCACGTTGCATTTGTTTCCGTATATTCATAGATTTTTCCAATGCCGTACGTTGCAGTTTCTCTTCCAACTCATTATCATCATCCTCATCACTATCTACATTTGACTGCATCTTTTTATTCTCTGCTGATACATCTTGCCATTTTTGCGGAAGAACATCCTTTTGTCTAAACAAATAAAAAATGATCCGTATGCATATATCCTAATGACATTATTACATATTAATATTATATTAAATATAATTTTAAATATAATTTTAAATATAATTTACAATACAATAAGCTTTTTTACCTAGCAGCCTGTGCGGCTTTCCACTTTGCGTTCAATGCAGCTGTATCGAGAGTAGGTAATTTTGGTTCAGGATGAATCAATTGAGACTCTTGCTCAAATATGTCCGTGAGTGGTTTCCTCTGAATTTCTGTAAATAATATAAAATTAAACGGATCTAAATCGAATTAATTAAATGTAAATTTCTTTTTTCTTATTTATTAATTTATTAATTTAAGGTGTTTACCTTTACGCTGCTGTGCGGTCATTGGTATTCTAGCTTCTCGTTCGTGATATGCTTTTGAAGCTTCATCCCTTTCTCTTTCCTTCTCCCTGCGCAGCTCTTCCTCTCTTCGCGAACTTTCAGCGAGCTTCTCCGCGTTGCTAAGAGGGGAAGCTATGTCATTATACTGAGCTACATACCTAGTAAATATAAAAACATAAATAAAATACGATAGGTTAAAACCCACGTTTCCATTCATGTATCTGTAAAAAATTAGATTAACCACGGACAATTAGCTAAGAAAATACAAATTAAAATAATGTAACATCAAAATCAATATCTATACTATCTATATAAAAAATTAATTATAAAAATAGAAATTTCGTAAAAATAAATAATCAAAACAAAAAGTTGTTCACGAACTGTTCCAACCTTTTCAGGACAGCAGTCTCTTTTTCAACTTTTGCATAATATGCATTCAGTTTTGATTCCAACTGTTCTAAATCCGGTAACGATGATTTCTTCAAAGCTTCTAAATCTCGTTCGAGTTTGTCCTTATTTTTGCGTTTTTTTCTTTCTTCTTTCTTCTTCTTCTTCCTGCTTTTTTTATCCTCTTTTTCTTTGTCTTTTCCTTTCTTTTCCTTCTTCTTCTTTTTCTTCATTTTCTCACTCTCTGAATGTTTCTTTTCCTTCTCTCTTTCTCTCTTCCATCTAGCAGTTTCTTCTAAGAATTTTCTTACCTAAGTATAAGAAAAAAAAAAAAATAATAAAATTTAAATTATTAGAGAACAAAAATAAATTATATGTATATATATAAAATATCTTACTTTATCTTCGTAATCAGAATCATCCTTTGTTTGTTCTAAGAATTTTCGCACTTTTATTTCATAATCATCCATCTTATCTCGAGTATTAGAACTATAAGATACTGGAGCGATTACATCATGCGTAGCTGTGGCAGCAGCAGCTGGTGGATTATTGTATTGAGCCATACGTTTGCTAAGCGGTGAAAGTGAACCACGATGATCTTTCTTGTGTTTTCGTTTACGACTAGGCGATCGGGATGCTGATCGTGAACTTGCGGACGAAGAAGAACTGCTGGATTCAGAACTGGAGGAACTCGAAGATCCACTTGATGACGAACTAGAACTGGAACTCCATCTCTGCCTTTTCTTTGAACGCAATTTCCTTTCCTTCTTACGTTTCTTCTTTTCTTTTTTATTTTCACTGACATCATTCTCAGTTTCAAAACTCTTGAACGTATCCAAAGGATTTAAAGAAGATGTTAATGTTTTAGACTTGATGTATTCAATAGAATTCCTAGCTTCTTCATGAAATGGAGCAATCGCCAAGCAATTTTCATATGCCTTTTGAGCGTCTTCGTACTTCTTTTCATCTTCATAACTTCGACCTAGAGCAACAAGAGTCTCAGCCATGTATTTACGGGCATTCGTATGAGTCTGATTTAGTTTCAATGCTGTCTCAAAATCATCAATTGCTTTCTTGAAACTACCACTATTTGCATATCTGTAAGAGCAAAAATACATACATATAAAATAAGTACAATTTAAAATAATATGTTTTATAAATATCAAGATGTTTTATATAAATAATAACTTACAATGCTCCACGAGCTACTAATCCTTCAACGTTTCGCGGATCTACGGTGAGTGCCTTATTGAGACACTGGAAGGCTTCCG